GGAAGCCGGCAATTCTGGAATACCACCTTGGAGAGCTTACAGTATCAGCAAAATCAAGGACTCAGGAGTACTAGCAGATCAGAAGAACAGGGATTACTTGGGTCTTCCAACAATAGCAGCCCTGGCTTGTTTAGAATATGCTACCTAAATGATGGATGCTAGCAATTGCACTGGAAAACCCAAACTGACTAACCCATAATAAGTACAATGGCAGTCAATATGGTATGTATATTTTACTTTAATTCAGCCACAAATTAAAAATGTCTGGAATTAATACCACTACCTACCTTTAGTGTATCATGACCAAGTCCCTGTAAGAGAAGTGAGATGACTAGTACAGCTGCTCTTCGAACTTCCACTGCAGGATCTGACTGAACGATGGTACGAACACACATCAAAATCTGCAGAAAATATCATTTACAAACAAACAGCAGCAGCAGAGCAAAGGCAGAAATACACTGTTAGCATATATACACTTATACAAATTTTTTATGATATATCTGGTAGCCCAAGAATAATTCATTATAATTAGTCACAGTAAAAGCTTCAGATCATACATTAAAAATTTATTTAGATATTGGGACTTGAACTTGCAAATGTGATCTCTGCATCAATGCTAGTACCCATCCATACTGACTGCTCTATGAGAGAACATCGAGAACTAACCAAAGCAAAGCCTTCACCTCCTCCTTGCCACTGTAAGATTCGGAAATGTCATTAACACTGATGCACAGTTTTATTCAAATCATTATGACGTCTTTGTTTAATAGATATCTGGCATAAATAAACTCAATTAACAAAAGGTGCAGCTCTTATGGATGGGCCGCCACTGAATGTGGCTGTCAGTTCCCTCCTACCTTTGATCAAGAGCATAATTACACTATATATGAGACCAAGAGTATTTTATAATCCACAGTTAAAATGCTGTCCAATAACATGACATAGCTGCACAGCTATACTAAACATAAACGTTTCTACAAGTCACTTCAAACATCTCCAGTCCATACACACATAATAATTGTAGTTATTGCCAGTTAGTAAAATCAAAATCACCTAAGCCAAGGAATAAATCACAAATCTATTGATAAGTATCCACAAACCAGAAAAACATGCTTACTTCTGTAACAATAGGTCCAATTCTGAAACCTAAAGCTTTACAAATCTCTCCCAGATTGGAAAGGCTTGATGCTCTTACAAGGTGGTCAGGATTCTTTGTACCAACCAGGAAAGCATTCAACAACATTGCCTTGTATGGTGGAACAAGATCTCCTGCAAAAATTAAACAAACATATGCAAATGCTACTTTTATTATTCACAAGTGGAATGTTTCCATAACTGAGAACTTTGGCATTTTTCAGCAGACTCAGAGCACAACTTTCATGTTAAAGCGAAATCTTTGGAGTTCTCAGAATTTATGTCCGTAAATTTTAAGCGCTTTATGGTTAGGAGCTCTTGATTGACCTGCTTTTCTAATACTAGTACATTCTGTTTTTTAACATAATATTTACCCAGTAATTTTGTGACTCGGACAAGAACCTCCCCCACTTTCATTTTCAGCTCTGCTGAACTGTTGTTGTTATCTGCCACTGTCCTCTTTGTTCCCATTTCTGCATATTCTTCTACAAGAGCTTTAATAACTGTGTTTGGAAATACATTTGCCATTACAGCCAGACCATTGATGGATGACAGGTAGATAAATGAATCTTCATGCTTCAAGTTCTCCTAAAAGTAATTAATGTCATTATAATGCACAGAAGTGAAGTTCATTCCTGTCACTGTCACAAAAATAAAATTTCTCAAATTTTCATAAATTACTGTCCGTATGAACTGCCTGTTAAACCTTCAATATATTTGATTTCCCTAAGTCCTTCAAGTGAATGCTAGGATAGCACCTTAAAACATATTACAGTTCTTCCAAATGTAGGATTTGAGGTTTTCACAGTGGTAAGTCTGAAGATGGCTGTCTTCTGGGTTGTTGTGCTGCGTAGTCTGGTTCACCATGATGATGGTAGCAGCAAGGACCCATGAAATGTCGGTAAACTTCTACCAGACTAGATGGTACAACAACCCAGAAGCCAGCTATCTTCAGTTCTTCCAGATTTTGCCATTCACAATAATTCTTCCATGTCTAGTTTGATGACACATAATTTAAATTGTTAAAACAGTATTCTGAAACCAACAGAACCTGCAATACAAATCATCATGTGGCACCATAATTTGTCACAATATCTCATGGCAAGACTTTACAGTGGATAACTAATGTAACAAATTATATGGAACATGAAAGTTCATTAATGTGTTCACAACAGCCTGCCACTGGTCATATCCTGAGTCAGAAAAGTCCAGTTTATACCCTCCCAACCTGTTACCTTAAGACTGAAATGCTGTAATTTCTTTCAATTACTTACTTGAAATATGCGAAGAATTTGGTTTCTATGCCGTTGTGCTTCTTTATCATTGCTTGATATGAGTTTTGCAAGCTCAATCAAAGCATGGCCCCTAACAGGGAGCAGTGGGTCACAAACATCGAATAGAGCTTGCTTACACCGACTCTCCTTCTTTAAGTCTACCTTTCCCTTACTTTTACCAGGAATACTAGTTCTTATATAGGCTTCTTCCTCTTTAATGCAGTTAGGGGGAATGTTCTGTTTGGTGGCAGTTGTCTTATTATTTGATGAACTCTTTACAAGCCTTTCATTTTTGGGCTTATTTGTTACAGAACTTTGTGCCACATTGCTGGAGGTTCGTGGTGCAGATCGTTGTACAATTCCATGACTGAGAATCTTGTTGCAAACTTCGTCAGTAAACATCTTTAACTCTTCATTTGTTACATTATCACGTATCACTCTAAGTGGTTCAACAAGTCGATTAAAGGGCTCCCAATTTACATGACTTGTAGTAGCATTATTAACCACAACACTGAGGACCATTAAAATCATAAAGAGACTCTCTGTGTCATGATCTTCACCATTACACTCTAAGCTTTTCTTTGTCAGAATATTAGCATCTCTTTCCAATAGGTACTGAACAAAGAAGACAACATGAGTTGGATCTTCTGTTAGCTTTCCATGAACGTAAGGATTTTCAGCTAATATGGCAAGAACTTTCACGGCCACAGCGTTTCTTTCGGTTCGTCCAACAATATTTAAGATTACGGCATCCTCCATTTCTAAAATATCATGGTTTAAATTACTTCTCTCACTCTCTAACAGTGCCAGATCAGATTTTGGATCAGACAGAAGACGTAAGAGGAAAACGAACAAACCGTTGGTGACATCTCCCTTCTTGTCTCCCTTCTCCAATAACTCCAAAAGACAATCCCCAGCTTCTTCTGAACACAATTCTTTCCCAGGCGCCTTCCTGAGCTTCACTTCAACACCACCTGTTGATCCAAAATGAAATTCCACCATTTCACTCACTTCAAGCATCCCTTCTATTTTATCGCCAAAGAGAAATGCATTAAAAACTATGGACAATTGTTTCTGGTTGCAACCTGAAAGAAACTTCAGCAGCAGATCCTCAACTTTTATTTTCAGATAAGAGGCACTTTGGCAGATCTTTAGATGCAACAGGAACAGCACAGAAGCTACTGAAAAGAGATGCTCTGATGGCAATGGAGAAACATCAGTAACAAAGCATTTGTGCAGATTGTTGATACTTCTTGATAGTTCATCTTCAGAAACAACACAGACATTTTGTGAATTTGACACAGGACTGTCACCAGCTTTTTGTGACAGCAATGGCACTTCTCGGTAGAAAGTTGGACCATGATGGCTGACACTGCAGCAAAGCAATAGAGGATTCATCAGTGTGTCCAACACATAACGCTGAAACATCAGTGGCTTTGCTGAGCACAGAGCCTTCATGCACAGAAGTGATACAGTAGAGTATAATTGCAGTTGTGTTTTGTCACTCATGTTTAACATTTCAACAATCTGAAATTAAAGACCAATAACAAATAAATTATAAAATACATAACTTATACAATTACAGCATTGTTTAGTCTTATATCCTACAACATAAGCTTCAGATCATAAAAATTAAAGCTTACAGTCTGCAAACCATAACTGGTCAAATTTAACTTGATTGCACAGTGGAAGATCATGTCAATATTGGTATTCTGAAATGTAACATGTGGATTTGTAAGTAAATCCTCTGATGATGTAGACAGTATGATCCTCTGAAATATTTGTATCTACTTACTACTCACAAGTTCAAATAGTGTTACAACCCAGGAAACCAACAATAATACCTGCACTGCCATGAGAATCTCAAATCTCATACAGTAAGTTATCGTGTTTTATACAAAACATCTTTTGTGATGAATATACGAGGCGCGTCCACAAAGTAAGTTTCTCACTCGTCCCACAGCTAGCAAACCTTATATTGCGCGAAGCGACTGTGCGTACGTGATAGAGCAATGACGTAGCATGGCGCATGCACTAACGGTACTTCTCGCGTTCTCACAGTAGCATCGTTGCAGCTGTTGAAGATGGAGGTTCTTATTCCAGCTCCCGCCGACTGTGAAGTGCGGTCAGTGATAACGTTTTTGAATGCACAGAGCATAGCGCCGATCGAAATTCATCGTCAGCTGTGCCGGGTCTATGGGCCTAACGTCATGAGCAAGCAGATGGTGCGTCGCTGGTGCAGACAATTTTCAGCAGGTCGACAAAGTGTGCATGATGAGAAGCGCAGTGGGAGGCCATCCATCATACAGGGATTCCAAAGTTGGTCCCACGGTATGACAAATGTCTCGATTCCGGTGGCGAATATGTTGAAAAATAGCTGGACACTTGCTGTATCTGTTGCAATAAATATTTCCATGAAATTGTGTTTTGTTTCTGTAAACGGCCCCAGGGAAACTTACTTTGTGGACGAGCCTCGTACCAACAAGAAAATACTGTCATGTTACTGCACTGTGTAAGGGTACCTAACATACATAATAATTCAGTAAGTATGCAACGTTTCTCCTCCACTCATCCTAGAAGTAGAACTAATATTAAGCAATATAGTAGTAAAACTTGTAGAACTGACTGTAGCACACACAAATCTATATGCACAGCAGTATATTTTAGTGTGCAGAATGAATTTATGGTCATGATCTAGGGTCAAAAAATGTGAATATCTGAGCGTAAACAAACTCTACATGGTCACTGACTTTTTAATGATGATGGGAATCATTCAAAAACCCACACTTTAGTCACCAATTTCACCATGTTTTCTCTTGATGACAATAACAAATACCACACTAGAGGATGTTACATACAATTTCCAGTTACACATAATTAGACAAAATACACTTTTACCTGAGAACATATATTTTTGTAGTACTGTTCTGCATGTTGAACATGGACAGTTAGAATAACCTTCACCACAGTGTCCAATTTGTTCCAGTCTGAACCAATGTCATACGATGTGTCACAGATTGCACGTACCAAAGCACTCACACCACCAGGTTTTATAAGACACTGTACAAGAAGCGGAATGCAACAGCGTTTCAGCCACGTTGGAGGAGAAGATTGTACACCATGCTGCAAATAATCAACAATACACAAGTAGCATCCATTATAAAAATTGTATCATGACCCATAAAAACTACAAAACTGAATATTCAGTAAAAACAAATTACCTTACTTCTAGCTGAACCATGCAGTAAAATCAGTTCTCTTATAATGAGTGGCTGATATAATTTATTAATTAAGGACAGGAAACACTTCTTAAAATAACTCCGTTCCTCCTGTAACCTTCCCCACAGTTCAGGAGTCATCACAAATTCCTCCCCACTGTTATCCAGTCTGCTGCTACTGGAAGCAGTAGAAGATGAATCAGATGCTGCAGAAATATCTACAGGCTTCTTCAGTGGGGCAAAGCTCAGCTGTGCCAGTGATGCTACTAAGTCTCCAAGATGCTGAATGAGAATCAAACTTCGTAGAGAGGGCTGCTCAAAGCAGGCTACCAATCCTCTTGTGACACCAGACAAACGCTCATACTTCTACAAAGAAACAAAAATTCACAACTAAAATATGTATAAGAGCCAATGGCAATGCACACAAGCGAGACTTAACCCAAGAACCATTTCATGAGCCCCAAAATTATAAACTCTTTTTTAGATCTTTTGTCAGAGAACCTGTGACAGTAACCTCAGCAATACCTCATATTTCTATAAGAAGAAAACACAGAAAATAATGCAACAACAAGAGCTGCCATTTCTTGGCAATAAGGTGAATTATGTATTGCCACCTTTTGTGATCTGTGGCAGTGAAAAAAAAATAACACTATTCATACTCTCTGAGTTGTGTAAGAGACATGTAATTTTCTAAGGGGCAAGGTGTAATCAAACTTCAAACCATTTATGGCATGCAGCAGGTAAAATATAGGCAGTCTGTAGGTAAACAACCTCATTATTTACCTGAGAATAAGGCTCTCATTTTTCTACAAATAAACTTGCATTACAGCAGCTCCTTATACACTGAGTGGAAAACTAACTGTGGAGCAGACAAACACAATGACATCACAGCCACGAGGAAAACTCATACTGCCATGAGGATGATTCCAAATAATTAACAAAAACAATGACTACACATTATTTCTGAAAATAAACATCACTTGGTTAAAAAAAGGTAAACTAATTTCTGATGACTTGTGAATGCATCAAATAAATTTCTTTGGATCATCTGTGTTCTTCAATTACTTGAGCATCTCCTCCCCTTTATTAACCCAGATAATTGGGAGTTCATGTATTTCACTTGTTTGATAAAGTACTCTTTATCTGTTAAATTCCTCCCATTTAACTGTCAAAATAAAACAGATAACACTTCATATAATAGAAATGTAAGAACAAAAAACTGTCCAATATACCTCCAGAATAACAAGCTCTTCCACCTTCAACTTCTGCGTGCTAGTAGAGCGAGCTGCAAGAGAAATGCCCACACCAGGAAGCAAGCTTGGCAGAACTCCCATGGAAATAACAAACTGAAGGCAGGTTCTGATGGTCTTCTGTTGGTTTACAGTCAGTATATCTGCTGCTGGCTGCTGAGGTTCTGTTTGTTCTTTTCCTTTACATGTTGATATCCTTTCACTTAAGCATTTCTTTAGTGACAGTAGAATATACAAAGACACACATACAAACCGCCATCTGAAAAAGACTCCAGCACAATAGATATGACACCATGTCAGAGAACAAATGAAGGAAAGGAGTCTGTTATGACACAAAATTATTTTTAGGTACCAAATAATCTCCAGATACCAAGTTTGTTGATCTTTCCGCAACCTTGAAGCTTGTATTTTGGTGATGTGGGGTTTAACCTGACATAACCTAACCTACTCACTCACTCTATGGTGCACGATGTTCTTTGAAAAGTTAATTATATACTCAGCTTGTTAAAAAAAAAAGGTTCATCACCGTGTTCACAAAGGCCACCACCAAACTCTATCCTGAGCTAGCTGCATCCAGTTCACTCCATTGATTCCTATCTCTCTAAGGTCCACCTTAACATTATCCTTCCACTATGCCTAGGTCTTCCCAGCAGTCTCCTCACTTCAGGCCTCCAAACCAACACCTTCAAAACACCTTTCCCCCCATGTGTGCCGATTAATCACCCATGTGTATCCATTAGAAATATGGGTGCTTGTTCTTGGAACTGAACAGTGGGATCCAGGTCTCAGCTACCTTAATAACAGTCAATGCAGCACCACAGAAGCATTGCATGATACATATTGAAATTAGTATCTTTCTGATCCTGTCTGCAACAAACAAGTTATTTTAAGGTCTCCGAGCAAAATTAAACACAGAGTGCACACAGATAAGATGTGAGTCAATGTAATTTTGCCCACTACTATATGTTCTTTATAACCTTTGCATCAACACAAGCTTTGCAGGCTGAGTGAAATATCTCATTCTCACATGATCTCATCCTTCCCTGAACTTATGTATCCAACTGCAGAAATTCTTCACATCCATTGAGCTTCAGAAATCACTCTAATTTTCTAGCGAATAATGACTGGACTATTACAGATCAGACACAAAAACTGTATAATATACTGCTCTTGCAATGAAAAACGTCACTTTCACTGTGTCAAATATGTTTTGTGTACAGTGCTACCCAACAATATTCTGCAGTATGTGCAGTGGTGGCATTTTACAGGAGGCATATTAAAGAAATAAGCACAGTACAGTTGTGGCAACCAAATAACATTACAAGTTTCCTCAATAACATTTAGAAAAATTTAACACTCAAATGCACTCACATGCATTCACTTATAGTATATGTTGCAGCACACACACAGAAATCTGTTGGATTTCTCAAGGGAAGGTTCATTTGAAATATGTGAAAGGACCCTGGTAAGAGTCAGTCTGGATGCAGAGGCTGGAGGAAAAATCCTGTGCCCCGGCCTGGAATCCAACACCTGTCATCCAGCCTGTAGTTAGTCACTATATTATCTGAACTACCCTGGCTCAATCAGGGAATGTGAATTCTCACACTAAAGAAAAACATACTGACCTGATACCACTGTTTGCTACAGAAGAACAGTTGATTGTTTGCAGGAGTCCATATGTATCCTGTTCAGTTATGCAGAGAGACTTCAATGCATTGTTAATGTTGAGTTCTAAAATATAATGTAAATCTCCTGTCACATTGTCTGCAAAACAAAATTACAACACACAGTAAACAATATTATAATGTTGGGTTTCATGTAGTTTTATGATCTAATTTTTGGATCTTCAAGGATGTAAAATCACATTCTAAGATTCTTAAACACTATTGGACCACTTTTATTTTCCCATTTGTAAAATGATGCTACTTATTTTGTATCCATTAATGATATTTTGATTATTTTGTTATACTGAATCTCATTATTCTATTCCACTATAATATGACCAAAGAAAAGTAAATTAAACATTAATCATGCTTCTTCCACTTTTTTACTATTATTATTTGCAACATCTGAAGTATTTCATACAGAAGAACGTCGTGGTTAACATTTCTGCTTTGAATGAATGAATATTCGGTAGGTCCCGATTATCCTGACTGGGGTTCTTCGTGGTTTTATTCAGTCCCTTAAATTCCGCTTTCAAATTCATTATTTACAATCATCCTATAAACTATAAATAAATAAATTCACCACATACAAGGATCTTCTTCTGAATACTCACCTGTATCGGCTGGTTTCACTAAAATATTCAAAGCACTACAAAGCTTATTTATATCAGTTTCCATATCTGTTAAAAGTATCCAGCTAAATGCAGTACACTTCACAATACCATACAAAAACTGCAAAAATTCACAACACAAACACCTGACAACACCAAACCGCCATACTCTTTCGTTCCACCGAATATATCACAGATTACTCAAACAGAAGACTAAGGCGAAGTCGCCCAACCTTCAGACTCGTCAGGAACTTATCACTTATCTCATGTATTTTGTGGTAATCTATTGAAGTAGATGGTTCGCATGTTTCGAATGGTTCTTATCAAAATGCAACACTTGTGAAAATTTCAGAAGTGAGAAAAAACAAGTAAATCTTGCGAACATGAGGGGTGCATTATATGCATCTGTTTTTATCTCGTTTATACATTTGTTTTTTTCCGTTACATGTGTACCTCAGAATGATTATTTTGATGAAGAATTGTTGTTAAAACCCTTGCCCAGTGGTCATGTGTTTGCGTATTTTCAGTTTACAACAATATGGGATCTTGAATCTGAAGCCACTTTCTGTAAGTTAAAATAATTGCACATTGTAAATTGAGGTTATGTCTGTCATTCATTATATTGTAAATGCAGCAGCATGTGGCTTCCCCTTTGGGTGTGTTGAGGGTGTACAGCAAGAAATAAAAACAATAAGCATACGGGTTGGTGTGTATGTGAATATTATATAAATTATATTCTGCCTCCATCAACAGGCTGATGAGGCCCCTCATGGAATGACCTAACATTTAACTTGTAACTTTCTTATCACAATGACTTGATGAACAATTTTATTCCTCAGATCAACATTATCATCTCTTCCCACGGGCTCTTGGAGAAATTGTAGGTTGGTACAATGTTCAAGAACTTCACATCAGTCTCACTGCAGGGCTTTGGAGGTATGAACACTGGGGCTATCCTGTGCATGATGCAGCACCTGGAGCAGAAATGTGGGCCTGGTTTAAAGAAGACACCAAAAAGTAAGAAATTTCAGTTGTTTGTGTCCAAAAAGAACACAGATTTTGTGTCAGTTGAATAGTCCCCTTTCTGCAATTATTTTAGAATTGTTGGTTTATAGATAAACATACTTTATTGTGAATTTTGTCACAATAATTCTGTTCTTCCTCCTGTAGATTCTGAAAATGTATACATTTGATACAGAATAATGTTCATCCTATCAGTTTGTCTCTTTCAGCGTTGATACAACGTGGAGAGAACTGGCAGGTGCTCTGTCAGGATTGCTTTGTGCTTCCTTGAATTCCATTGATGCATCAAACAGTTTGAATCCTGAGTTCACTTTCCAGCTACCTGGACGTGTATCCAGTAGAGCTGTAAATTCATCATACTTGCGTTATGCAACTCTTCCAAGAGAAATTGTCTGTACTGAAAATTTGACACCATGGAAGAAGCTTCTTCCTTGTGATGCTAAGGTGATCAAATAAAATGAGCTTTTGTATGTGAAATAAACAAGAAAGAAAACACTGACTGAATCTGCATGAAATTTTCTGTTTCAGAAAGGCCTGTCAACATTGCTGAATGCTGGTCATATTTACAACACCAATTACCATTCTCTGGGTATTCATTTACGACCAGTGTGCAGGGTAAGTTTAAATTGGAAATTACTACAGATTGTTACTAGTCTTCAAGGCTGGCTATTCTCAAATTTGTATAATTATTTTGTCTGTTGTTTATTTGTTACTGTGTTTATGGAAAACCAGTAAATCAGATTTTCAAAGAACCCTTCTTTTCCTGCCATGATTTGCATTTTATGTGGATCAATGAACAGAAAGTCTCCAGTGTCTTCTGCCTTTTCCACAATCTTACGTTTTCTGTTTCTTACCAGCTCTATCCTCTTCTTGATGTATTTCTGGCACCTGGCAGAATAATCTTCTTCTGGGTTATTACATGGCCCTTTTTTTAGACTTTAATTCTAATGCCCTTCTCAGTATCATTGTTGTGTCTTATCTTATTTAACCATTGTAGTTGTTTATCTTCTAATTTTACAGAGGCATTTTTTCTGTAATCCAAACATAATTTTTCAAACAAAAGTGGGTCCTTTAACTGTATTTGTAATTTTACACAATTACTTATCAACATTATCACCTCTGCAGTCCACACTTTTTCCACCATTCAGGTAGGAGTCTGCCACAATAAAACTGTCTTGCTGATGGAACCACAGCTGCACTGTTGTCTTCATTATCTGACAAGAAATAGCATCCTCTCATATGTTCTATTATGTTAACTGCACAAAGCATTCTTTGTTATCACAATTAAAACTTTAAAGAAATGTAAGAAAATTATGTTTCATGACCAAATTCCATGCTTCTAAGGCATCACTACTTACTATATAATATGTAAATAACCAGTCCATTGACCGTAGTAATATCAAGTTCACATCTCAACGCTGTCAGACTGAGTTTGCAGGATTTCCAATCCTGTATGTTACTAGAAAGAATTTAAATGTGTCTGCAGAATTCCTATGCTATCAGAAAATTCTAAGTTAATAATACATAATAAATACCAGCATCTATCTGAATGCACTATTTAGGATATGAGCTGAAGTTTCATACAGTTATGAAAAGAATTTAATAATTAATTCCTTTCACTTAATATTTTAGGATGATTAAATTAATACCATGCTATGTGGGACCTTTGTCACCATATTTTGGTGCATCCTCAGGTTATGGATGGAGTAGAAGAGCTCCAGATATGGACAGTAGTTGCAAATATGTTGAATAAGCAGTCATGGGCACCTGATAAGGTGTGGACCTCCATCTTGTTGGTTGGGTGGGAGGGCTGACAACTCATCACTGTACAAAACAAATATGTTACCAGTATTTCATAGGACCTCATTGTAAGCTTTTGTGAACCCTGTAATGAACTTTTGGGCTTCATAAAAGGCAGGGGATTTCTTGACTAGTTGAGTGATAATCATGGTTTGAAGGAGGACTGGTTTGTAGAATTAATTAGTTATGATAAATTAAAGGGGTAAAGTTTAATATATTAATTTGGCTTTTGGTGATAAGTTGTTTGCAGGTATTCCAGTGTTTCAGCAGACATTGCAGTTAAGATATTCATCCTGAGGATGGCAACTGCAATGTTTGCTGAAATGTTGGAATACCTTCAATACTCAGTGCAGCTTATCCCCAAAAACAAAAGTCATACATTAAACTTCCACCACAAGGATTTAAAGACATGTTAATGTAGGGGTAAGACAGGATTATAAGATTTTGGTTGGATAATGTAATAGAAAAACTGCAGTTGGAAGGTTAGGACATGGATGGAAATATCTTAAAATTTTGATATTTTGGGAATGTGTTAAACATTGATGAACTCTGGGTTCCATTTCATGAATTGATCAAGGAATTTTCAGTACCAGGGTATTTGTAGGTTCTGTAGTTAGTGATAATTGTTAAACTGTTGTAGGTAAGCATATGAATTTTGTGGTAGATCAGGAATTACCTACAGATTATATACAATATTCTAAATGGAAGTAATTTTTCCATTGTTATTGTAGAATATAGTTGTTGATAGCAGTGTGCTTTTTGTTTCAGGACTCTAACTGTTCTCAGATATCAGTTGAGTTACGGCAGACACTGTCCCTGGTATATGATATGGTGATACTGGGAATAGGAAATCAGGATTTTTCCATAAAGAAACTTTTTGGAATTGGTTTGAGTGGTGCTTGCCCTCTTGCTACGATGAGCAATATTTACATTGACACTACTTTGAATGAGGTATGTTATACTTACTGGTAACACTTTTATATGTCTTCAGTTATTTCTTTGTTGATATCTTGAAAGCCACAACCTCAGAAATACTTCTCCATGTCTCATAATTATATCCTAGTCTGTATATTGCTATGATACAGTGTGATCGTTTTGGGTATGAATAAAATAGTTTTTTTTAATAACAACTGTGAATTTGACTGTATGCTTGACATGCTTTATTTACAAAGATGAGAGAGTGTCGTTAGGCTAATTTGGAATCAGCATTCATCCATCCCTCCCCTGCAATCATGGCATAGTTTAGTCTATATTATGTTGCCATCAGGTTGTCAATGTCCACAGATTATTAGCATACAGTGTTCTTCACAGCCTAAACACCCTTAAAGTACACCAGTTCACACACATGCAAACCAAAACCAACATCAAAGATTTAAAATTTAAGCCACATAATTGTCTGTATTACATTACAATATCTGTTGCAGACAGGAGCTTCTTTTAAGCTGAGTCCACCTCCACCTGCAGTAATTGCCAGTAGTCGTGGTGGCTATGAAAGCAAGTTTGCTGTTTATGATGTAAAAGCACTGGGCATTGATGGCATGTTCAATATTGCAGCATTTTACAGTTCCCCAAGAGTTCATGGAGTTAATCTTCCACCAGTATTGTATGCTAACAGATACATTATTGGTAAGTCATTTCAACATGAATATATAAAAATTCCAAGCATGATGGAAAATCTCATCTGAAAATTCAACTTTCTTCAGCATTTGTGCATATTATATGATTTCATATACTTGTAGATGGTAGGGTTGATGCACACACACCTACATATGCTGTTCACATAATCCTTGCAAATACTTGGAATATGAAGCTCTATGTTTTACAATTTTTTTATGTCTTTTCTTGTACAGAAGCTTTCTATGTTAACAGAACATATTAATCAAATTGTGCCATAAATTTCAGATAAAAAATGTGAAAGTGTTACATCTGTGAAACAGTATTTTACCTAGAGATAATCTTTGTCAGAGACAGAACAATTCATTTGCTTAACAGGAATGCAATTTGTGGATTGAATTAATTGTTGTTCATTACACACAACAAACTACTGGAATTTCTGTTATTAGGCTATGGCCAAGAATATGGAGGAATTGTTACTAAAGTATACAATGGACTTTGGAAACCACTGGATGTTGTATATTTGGAAAATATTCCATGGTTTATACCTCTGTACCTTCATACCCTCAAGATTGTAGCAAATGGAAAGGAAATCAAACCATGTAAGTTTTAAACATTTCAAACAGTTTATATTGATCCTGGGAGAATGGCTTTCCAAAGTTCTTTATTGGCATTTTGTAAAACCGCTGTCTTGATAAAACAATTAAAAATGAACACATGACTAGTTTGTGTAACAGTCATGTGTAACATACCAGAGTTGTTTCACTACTACTACCAGTGCCAGCCTTAGGGTAAAAAAAATATGGTGCCATAGGTGAACAAGTCATACTTTCACTTGTCATGTGACAGTTTTGCAACATAAACAGTTTGTATGTTAAGTGATCACTAAATGACACACCATTATTAAGTAAGGAAAGAGTTGAATGTGTTGCAATCTTTTTATCTAGCTTTTGAATTTTGTCCACATTTTTTTTTGGTGGAACACACACAGCATTGCCAGTATTTACTGTGTTGTATGTCAGGTTGGATTAGTTGGCTGGTAGAAGGGGTTGGTTTTTCCCATAGGATGATCTGTGGTTCAGGCACCCTCCCCTGCATGTAATAGGTCCATGACAAAGGCAAATCTTAAATTTAATGAGATAATTTTGAATCACAAGAAGTGAGAAGAATAAAACTTTAGAATTTAAAGTTCCATATGGTGAAATAATTTTTTAATCCATTTGCTTGTGAGAAGTGCGTACAGAATTTTAGTTGGAAAACCTAAGGAAAGAGAGCACTTGTCAGATCTAAGCATAGACAGGATAATATTAAAATGTATCTTTGAGATAGGATGTGAGTGCGTACTGAATTCATGCGATTCAGGACAGGGTCCATTGTTGGGCTTTATGAAAATGATGATGAACCTTTGGTTCCATAAAAAATTGATCAAGAATGACTATACTAGTTATGACTGTATCTTTCTGTGTTCAGTGTTGAAGAGGTACATACCTGGAAAAGCACGGACTCGACCATACTATCTTGAGGTTGCTTTGAGACTTCCAGCTAGATCCACAACTGAGATTTATATTGAGTTTGATTATGTTTTCCTGAAGTGGCAAGAGTATCCTCCAGATGCTAATCATGGCTTCTACATTGGTGCAGCTATAATCACAGCCCTCCTGCCAGTTGGGAGAAACTACACAGGATTGCCACAAGATGGCAGCACTATATCATCGAGGTATGGTTTTATTAATTCAGACAAAAATTTTCAAGAGGCCAAAATATTTTAAAATATTCTGAAAAGCCACTGTAATAAAATAGTAGTGATTGTTTGAAACAGATGATTCCAAAATTTTAACATATCTTCTATTCAGTTAAATGTAAATTTAAGCCTGTGGGCTGAGGATGGCCAAATAAAGATCATCACAAGACTTATAAAGATTAAAAAATAAATATTTCTGCTTAAATGCACACTTCATCAATGTCTGCAATTAAGTTTGCATATGTGGGTGTGTGTATCCAAGCCCACTTCAGTACTGAAAGTGGTTAACATGTTAGATGATGATGCTGTGTTTCAAAATGGCCTACAATTCTCTGTAAGATTTTTCTTTGTAACCATTGTTTATTGAAATATATGTAACAGCATATTTAGGCCATCAGATGAAATGGGTACATTGTTAAATTTTGGCAATAAATGTTTGACTATGAATTTTTAGACTATAGTGCATATAGTCGATTATTAGTGTCTGATCCTAGTTCTTTTGAGGCTGAAATTGTTGAAAATTTGGAAGGCATGATTTGCCAGGTATCAATAAAATTTTGTCAAAATTGTTGGTCCAACCTGGAGGCAAAACTTTACATTCTGAAGGAAAGAGTACAATGGTACCTCAAACAGCAATATGATACCCCAAATAGGGTTCCACATTCTGGTGCCAACCAGCTTCCTGCCCAGCATGTACTGGGGCTCTCCCCACAGGTAAAATGGCTGACTTGTGTATAAACCTGGCCACTTTCATCTTATCTGGTGCCAAAGTTAATATATTGGACTTTACTCCTGTGCTCCCATATACCTTGTGCCCAGGTGTAGTTTATCTTTATGTTGAAGAGTAGAATGTAGCTTCATGAAATCAGTTATTAAAATATATCAGTAAAATTGATACTTTGTTGGGGACAGTCATATTTGCTCTATAGAGGTTGAGTCCTTCATTTCAATATATATAAATATTTTTTTTTTCTTACAGTTTTAATGCATCTAGAGATGGCTACTTGGTACAGATCAGGACTGAAACACTGATTATTACTATGCCTACACCAGACTTCAGCATGCCGTACAATGTCATTTGCTTAGCCTGTACTGTGGTTGCTCTGGCATTTGGGCCGCTTCACAACATGACCACTAAAAGGTATTGAAATAAACTTAAACATTCATGTAAATAGGTTCTTATTTATGTGAGCATTACCCTTCATACTCAGTGTTTAGCATGAGGTAAAACCAGGTATGTACATTTTTGTTTACTCTTTCACTGTTATGGACATGAGTTCTAATGTGAGGAAAAGTGTGTTGTGCATTACAAACAATTGTTACGCCAAATATGGAGATTTATGTATCTTCAATTTTTTATTTTGAGAAATAGCAATTTATACACATTTTTAGTTTAAAACCTGAAGGAAAGAGACTGCTTAGAATACCTTAGCAGGGATAGGACTGCATCATAAATAAACAGGTTGTCTTCAGGTGGGATGTGCTGAATCACCTGTGAAAACTGCATTAAGCACCTATTAAATAAAACTTAATGTTGGCAGAGCAATTTGTTTCCCAGTATGTGATCTGAATAAAAATGTATAAGCCTTTAAAACTGTACTTTGTTTGTGGAGACAGTACAAAGAAGTACTTTGTCTACTTGTAATTCTGTTAGATACATATGCAAAGAGACTAGTGGTACATGCTTAAAACAGTTTCTTCTTTACAGGTTACGACTGAAAGATGAAGGAGGACAGAATCACCTTATTAGTTTGTTAAAATCTGCATTTAAAAGATCATCTGAAAAGAAAGAAAAACGAAGTTGAAGGTATGTAAGATTTTAAATCTTCACACAGACACACTTATGTACACCAGTGAATTTTAGTCACTTCTCATACTGACCCTGATGATGGAAACTGAGCTAGTCATCGAATCATTGGTGTTTAACTGAACATTGACACAGCTCATGGCCCAAGAGAATTTTATAATATTCATACACTGTGTGTGTGTGTCACTCCTAGTAATGCCTCATCATTATTTGTGCACTATGTGACTAGAGGGTGTAGTCAAATTATGTGGTCACTCCTCTCACTTCAGTCGTTTTGTCATGTCGCTGAACTTGGAGCATGATCCTTGGTTTGTTGTTCAGTGTTCACCTGCTGTTGCATTACTAGCGCCTCTGGTTTATGACATTTTGATGGTGGTGCTTCATGCCTAGCTTCTCTATTGAAATTATTCACATGTAGCCATATTTCTCTATCTTTTAACTGGTTTGATTACTCTATTATATGCTGTGCTGTGTATGCTGATTTGTCTGGCTGATACAGACAGATGGCTGGTGTATTCCTTATACCTAGGCTCAGTGGACCAGCCCATTCGTCCCATGTACAATTTTCCTCAATCACATACTCCCAAAGACTTTTAATCCTGACTTTAACACGTGTGAAGTGTTTTTAACAAGTATGAGGAGTGTCTTTATATTGAACTTTCTCAGTAATCTGCATACCTATATGATATGTACTGGAATAGTAAAATGTCTGCCCCAGTCAGTTGTTTATTCTTTTATGTTGTCTTATTTTTATGACATATAGCTACGTTGAAGTCTGCTCCACTGTACCTGTTCTCTCTTAATGCCTCCTTTAAATGTCAGATTTCAGCATTGAGATTTTTGTCACATATAGTTTTGGCCAAGTTTATAAGGCTAGTCAAAACTGCATGTTTTTATGAAGGGTAATGGATTGACTGCATAAAGGTAGAGATCCATATGGGTAGGTAGGGTATCAATACATTCAGTAATTGTAGCATGCCGTTTTCTTCCATTTCCATAGTGAACTTGATATTCATGTTTAGCTGTTATTTATAAGCATTCCAGTGTGTTATTTGATACTGCATAGTAATTAATATCTTCAATACACTTGATTGCTCTTTTTTTTAAATTCATGATTCTTACTCAAGCAGACAAGAGAAAAATAGTTTATTTTACATCAATAAGAGTACAACCACAAAGTAGCTCAGTTTATGTAAAGTAACCACATATCAGAAATAACCAATGATCTGACCAAAAAGTACCTAAAGAAAATAAGATAGGAAAGTAATAAAAGGAATACAATATTACCTCTGATAGAAAAATGGAAATTTTTCAGTCTGAACCCTGTAGCCTCAACTTTACAAGCACTAATAAAATTACACAAAGAAAATAAACCCATTTGACCCATAATTAACCAGTGCATTTCACCAGCCTATAAAATTAGTAAATACTTTACTGAAGCACTACAACAAGCTTTAAATCTGCCTAATACATTCAATAGAAAGAACTCATTAAACCTCACCCACTAAATTGAGAACTTACACATAGACTGCAATAGAACAATGTATAATGAATCATACAGAGAAAACCTATGGCTACAGATATCGTTATCCACAACAGTCCCCATCACCCCACAGAACAAGACTATCAAAGCAAATATAATGAAACATCATGATTAGAAATCATTATCCTGATCATATTTTTTATAATGTAATACCACTTTCTAATTTTAATTTTAACCTTGGTACATTTTAATTGTTTTGACCTGTGGTTGGCTTGATGGTATAATTATACTGAACATGTCAGCCAAAATGAAGGAACATAATTTAAAAAAATTAGAGCACTCAAGTGTGTTGAAAGTCCATTCCATAAAGTAATTTGCCATGATTGGCATATGTGCTGACCCCATTGTAATGCCATCCTTCTGGTCATAGAATTACCCATTAAATAAAAAAATATGTGGACATTAACATTTGTCTAAATAGATCTAATATTCCACCTTTAAATTGTTGTTCTAACAACTATAAGGTCTCCTTGAGTGGAGAAATATGACATCTAATAACATCAATGGAGAAGAAGGGTTCAGACTAAGCCAGGTATGGAGCCCCGCCATCAGAATGTTACAAACCAGCGACATAGACAGTACAGGTAAACCTCAATTTACGCCGGGGATGCGTTCCTGGACGAACTGGCATAAATTGGAACTCTTTCCATAATGTAAATCAATGGGAAGTCAATGACATGCGTTCCCGGCACCCAAACATTGACAACTTAAGTTCCTCAAAAATTGACTTCACCTTATCTGTGATAGCAATTTCAGTCAAGGGAATGTTTTTTCGATTCATGTCATCCACCCATAGCAACAGTAATTTCTCCATTATTTCTAAAAGTTTACTTCTGCTATAACTCACTTGCATTGCACTTCCTCTCATAGCCTGTTGCATTGACTGTTTTATTTTATATGAATATTTTATTATGGTAGTCACAGTGGAAGGAGGCAACTTCATACTTCAGCACACATTACGACGGGTATCACCACCTTCCATTCTACGAATTACGTCCATCTTATCTTCTAACGCAATAGACCTACGCAAATTTTTAGCAACACATTCACTTCTCTTACCAGACATGGTGGCTCTTCTACAATTTATAAATATAAATCAGTTGCTACTGCAGAATAGTGGTCGAACAACAACATAAACACAGTTTTCAGCACATTCAATGTGTCAACAAGAAGCGAAGTGAGCGCATTTTTCCTTACTCCCTTATCAGGCTGAATGCAAATGAATCAGTGTGAAGAGTGACCAGTGCTCACTTGACTGTTGCGCAATGTTGGCGGATTTTTGGGAGATTATCTCGCAGCTACTTAGTAATGAGTGCAGAGGTGACTGTATTTATAATTTTTATTCAAAGTTGGCGATGTAAGAATTACGATTTAGTATAAGAATCAGAACGAGAAACATTGTAAAACATTATAAATAATAGTAAAATATATTTCTTTCACTTTTTGACTTGCTGGTTTCAAAAGCGGCATTATTTTGAATTGGCGCAAATCGAGGTTTACCTGTACTAGTAGTGTTAGACAGGGTAGGTTCCAAATGGCTGGGAGGAGCAGCAGCAGCAGGCGAAGGCTGGATGACTAACAGGATCATGTGAGTTGCGCAATATGACACCATTCCTAAAGTGAGAGGGGTGACCATATAGTTTGACTACACCCTCATCATATAGTGCACCAATAATGAGGCACAGCTAGGACTGACTGATATATATCAGTGAATTGTGATTTATTTCTCACACTAGCCCTGATGATGGAGATGGAGCTGATTGTCATAGCGAGTCTATTAGGGGCTGCCGAATCAGAGGGGTGTCACTTGCATCAATGTGGTGTACTCTGTTTATCCACACGTAGTCATCACCTTTCATTGTGAATGTTATTAAATTCTGTGATAGTGATGTCACATCCATTTGTTAACCTGACACCCAAAATTGCTTGTTGCTAGCAAAGGTGATCACTTCCAACATGCCTGTAAACCAGTGGTTATCAACCTGCAGCCTGCTGATTTGTATGTGTAAACTTTAGTAATGTTGTATTACTCCGTATAATGAAAATGCAATTATTCCAAAATTAAATCAATTTATGTGAATAATTAATTTACTTCTGTACAGTGGAAGCATAACAGTTGGATCCACACAGCCTCATCCAAAGCAGCACAACTGTTAACAATGTTCACATCAGGATATAAATATAGGAATGAAACATCATGTCTTTGAAGAACATAAATTACAGAGCATGAAAGACAAAGTATTCAGGAAAACACTTAAGTCTAAGAAGGATGAAGTAACTTAGTAATTAAGAATATTACATATGAAGATACTGTGACTTTAGCAGGTCACCTATTTCTATGAAATAGTGATATCCAGGAGGCCATGATGGGTTGGGTATGTGGTTATGACCTAGGAGGACATTACTGTGGATCTTCTGATGTGAAGTAAATGGAACCAACTTCATTTATGTGTTTTGGTATCAGCAGTGTAGAATCTTTGTATTCTGTAACCGTAGTGTTCATTACAGAATTAATCTTGATAAGTGAACTTCATTAACCTTCTGGAGGAAAAGCTCATTTGAACAAGACTGGAAAGGTGTAATCTGTACTGGAATACACAAAATATCCAGCTGTGTTATTTCACTTTTGCATTCTGAATGCACCTTGCTGAAATGAAAAAAATATATATATACCATATTTTACTTATACCAGACATAGTGTTGCTATATCATCCACATAAGCATAGCAATATATTTCAGAAGATGTAAAAATACAAGCATATCCTTTTAATATATATTATTTATCCATGAACTCATATACTTCTCATTTTCAGTAGTCACAAAAGAAATGGGAGTGAACTGCAATCCAGTTTCCATACTTTCCACAGTGGTCCCCAACCTTTTTGTGCCTACGGGCACATTTGAGAGTTTATGAGATCGTGGCGGGCACCAACCAATTAACAAAGCCAAATTTTCTTTTCTCTGGACAAATAAGATATGGACACCAAATAATACACAAAACAACACGATGTTTAATGATACAAGAAACCACACAATCAAAAATACGTACTTTTAAAAGTACAATTATTATTACTCAAGTGGGAAGTTAGTGTGATGTTTGGCGCTGCATTTCATCGGCCAGTTTTTCAAATTTGGGAGTGTACGATGATGTCGCTGCTCGAAAACAATCGTCAAGATGGGCGTCAGCAAGTCGAGATCTGCACTTTGATTTCATAATGTTCGTGGTTGAACGACCTTCATTATTCAGTATAACCTCTTTCTGTAACAATGCGGGCACCCAGAAAAAGCCTTGGCGGGCACCGCGTTGGGGACCACTGCTTTCCACAGTGAACACTATTATTATCACTGAAACTAATCAACACACATTTTGAAGTTGTTCTCTTTCTGCTCTAGCAATTCGTGTATTTAAAACTGGTAGCTGATACATCATCATACTTTCAAGCAGAGGGCCTTGACTTTGTTTCTGTACATGTTACAAAATAATAAATTCAGTGTATAGCCTACAGTGTGTTGAAATTTCTTTTAAACCTGACATTTTTAAAGAGAAAGTAGTCATAACAAACATATTTTATTTTGCTTAAATTTAATTTCTAATTTTACAGATCATGTGTTCTTAATATTGCCTTTAAGCAGCATAAATTTATAATATAATACAAGTTAACAATGTGGTAGCATACTGGACTCACATGCTGATTAAATTGATATTAAATCCTGCTGTGGCCAATTTGTTTATTTCTTTGCAACCTGCATGTTTTACATTGCTCAAATAATTATTGCACCAAAGTTATGTGTTTTTTGAAGATCTATTACCATACATCATTAAATTACCCTGTATTAAGTTATGCTAGTGCTGCTCCACCTTAAAAGTTTGTTGATTGGAAAATACAAGTATAGAATATGCTGCAATGTTACAACATCTGTATTAATTATGATCAAAATCCATCAATCAGTTCTCAAGTTGAATCATGTGGACAGACAGGTACTGCCCTATATACATTCATTTCATGCACATCATGGAAATAACACACAATAATTACAAATTTTGTTCTTACCTCAAAGAAAGCATTATGAAGACCAATTGGTTTATGCTGTTTAAGGATATAATCACTATTTATTCTGAGAATGATATGAAATCCACAAATTTGCCGCTGTGGAAAAAAGGAAAATTATTGAATATTAAAGGAGGTAATGCATTACCAAATTTTATTTACTGACTACTAAGAATGGCATGTTGTGCAAATTAGTACATTTCTCACACAAGAATCTATTTTATTTAATATATTTTACATTAGTACAGCACTTACTCTGAGTTGAACTCTGGATAAGTCACATTTGACACTAAACAACAGAAGAATTATCAGGGATAATAAATAGCCATAAGAGTAGAAAAATGCATTTTTGCTAGAGAAGCACTTTATTACTTTGTGAAAAAAGTTATAATTGTTACACAAAGTTGATACAGTTTACCACATAACATGAATGCAATATTTATTTTTTCTGTTTCTTCTTCTCTGCTTCTTCTTCCTTTTCTTTCTCTATTTCTACCACATATTCCTCAATCTTTTCCACATCCAACATCTGTGAAAAACAAATCTTTTTAATGTTTCTTAATGTACAGTTTAATCCTGATACAATAAGAATTTATATATATAATATTAGGAATAATGCTCATTCTAACAGGAAGTGGTAGTATCTGAAAATTACAGAAATACATAATCTTCATATCTGTCCCCAAACTCATAATTATGTCATGTGCCCACCAGTCCTGAGTTCAATTCTGGACAGGGTGTCCGAGATGGACCTTACACCTGATTGGTCATAATTTTTATTATGGAGATGTGAAATTTATGCCCCATACACACCCATTTTCTAAATGAGTCAAATGATGGTATGACTGATGATGGTTTTTCTTTGAGAGCAACACTTTGCAGGTTTTGTGTTTTACAGTACATTCCATTGTGCACAAAAAACAGCCCCCCTCCCCAATTTCATGTTGTGTTATACATGAGTAAATGCAGTGATCTTCAGTTTCATACATCCACACTGAAATATCACTGTTACACAGAAAGCTGTACTTATTCTTGCAATTGAACCTGGGGTTTCAGTGAAGTTACTAATCAAAGAAATCACAAAATAAAAGTTGTGGATGCATGTTAAATACAAAGATTCCATTAATGTGTATACACTGTTAATCTCATGTCCTAATACCAAGCCACACTCATGAGTAGAGTGAGAAAGGCTGCCACCTCATAAGACAAACACTGCCTCTTTCAGGCAGTTATTTAAATATAACTGGCAGACCATGCAGCATGCCATTTAAAAGAAGCTACAAAAAGTTTATTTTCCTGGAAAAATGTACATTTTTCTAGTCCTCTTAGAAATGTTGTAAACAGGGATCTATGGTAGTAAGAAATTCACCTTAAAACCAAGAACAAGTACAGTGTCCCTTAAACTGAAGACATTACCATTTTCAGACATTACCTGCATTGGTTCTCCACGTCGCATTACTGCTATTTCCAGATGTTTTCGTCCAGACTGCACTACCTCAAGTAATGCCCTTATGGCCAATTTCACTGTGCCCTTCTCTGTAGATACAAGCTCCTCAGTATAATATTTCTCCAAAAATTCTCTCACTGTCTTTGCACTACGGCCAGTTGCATTTGCCTGTAACAGTGTATCTTCTTAGAGAAATCGATAGGAATCTGCACTTATCAAAACAAAGCCCAGCTGGTACCTACAGAAGTCTGACGCATGTTCTCTCTCAGTAATGGATGACAACATAATTTTGTATAAAAAGTTATAAACCCATCCTGAGGTTAGTACAAAATAAATTGAATATATGTTACAACATATTTCCATTTTACTTATATTGATGTCTGGAATCAATGGTATGATAATCACACACTATATTATAAGGCAATCAATGGGCTTTCATGGTAGACAACCCTTTACAAAAATATGAACTACCATGTCTTGAACTAGATTTAAGTGCTTTGTCTGAATATGATTTTATATAATGTTTCAATCATTGGTAATAATCTTTGATATATACAGTATACACATGAAATACACATACACATAAATAATAATATAAATAATGATTCTGCATCAGTCACTCAATTTTTATAGTAGAGAATGAGAAGTACAATAAAATATAAAACAGATTAATGATTAATTCCTGTTTATTTTAATTACATTTTTTCACCTGCACAGATCATATAATATTAAATGGATGATGAACTGGGAAGAATATGAAATAATGTGGATGGTCCATATCCTAGAATTTGTCTGAAGGCACTTAAAAAATGTGAAAACCCTCGATCATGATACCTGGTGATGGAGATAATGATTAAGATCCATGACTTCCTGAATGCAAGATGCTAATTAAGCTGCAATATTTGATTAAAAAGAGAAGAAATTGGAAAGCAGCAGTAGTTTCTTTATGCCATACCCCCTTTTTTGGCTAATGTTATTGGTCTTTACAGAGTGATGAGGCAATGCA